TTCGTGATGGCAAGGTTAAATTCTTCCAACCGTCTGTCCAGAAAAGTGACTGGTTCAATTTGATGTCTGTACACCAGAACCATCATGCCCATACAGAAACCAGTTACTTGCCGGAAAACTTTCTTCCCGAATTTCTCGATTTAGTTGTCTGGGGCCACGAACATGAGTGCCTGATTGATCCTAAGCTCAATCCAGAGACCAAATTTCATGTTATGCAACCAGGATCGTCTGTCGCAACATCATTGGTACCTGGGGAAGCTGTCCCCAAACAGGTCTCTATTTTGAGTGTAACAGGCCGAGAATTCAAAAATGAACCTATCCGATTGAAAACGGTGCGACCATTTGTGATGCGGGAAATTGTATTATCCGAAGAAAAGGGAGCCCAAAAGCTTGCACGCAAAGAGAACAACCGCACAGAAGTAACTCGGTTCCTCATGTCCATTGTGGAAGAACTGATCGAAGAAGCCAATGCAGAATGGCTAGAGATGCAAGGCGACCGCATTGACGAGGACGATGATGACGCACCGGAAGCTCCGCTTCCTCTCGTTCGTCTCCGTGTGGAGACTTCCACACCTGAAGGAGGTAGCTACGATTGTGAAAACCCGCAGCGATTCTCCAACCGCTTCATTGGTAAGGTCGCTAACGTGAACGATGTGGTGCAATTCTATCGGAAGAAAAAAACCGCTTCTACTTCGCGCAAGGATGATAAATCCGTTGATGAAGCTACCGTTTCTCATCTATCAGCCCTTGACACTGTGAAGGTCGAACAGCTAGTGCGCGAGTTCCTCTCATCGCAGTCATTAAGTATTCTGCCACAGAATTCTTTCGGGGATGCCGTTGCTCAATTCATTGACAAGGATGACAAGCATGCAATGGAGATGTTCGTCAATGAATCCCTCGAGAGCCAGGTCAAACACTTGTTGGCCTTGGATCGTGACGATGACGAGATGGATGACGAGGAGAGGGAACAAAGCTCGCTAGTCACTGCTATGGAGAAATATCGCGGTCAGATGGAAAATATGTTTTCAAAGGGCGTAAAGAAGCGAACTCGCGGAAAGAAGCGCTTTAAGCCCAGGCCAGATGGTTGGGATTCCGAGTTCGATGGCGTGTGGGAAGACCAGCCTGGCGCACTTATTCATTCCGACAATGAAGGTGGGGATCCGGCAGAGGAAGAAGCTGCAGAAGATGGGACAGTTTCCGCTCGTGGTCGTGGCGCAGCCTCTACTCGAGGTCGTGGCAGGGGTCGTGGTCGAGGTGCGGCCAGTGCGGCCAGTGCGGCCAGTGTGCGAACCACCAAGGGCAAAACTGCCCCGGAAAAAAAGACTACGAAGGGTCGCAAAAAGCAAGCAGTTTCAGACGAAGAATCAGACGTGATCATGCTGGATGATGATGACGACGATGTTATAGCCCATGTCATTTCCGACGATGACAATGACGATGACGATGACTCGCAGGCACTGTTCGTCAAGCAACCTCGCTCTACTACTACCGTGAAGCCACGGAAAGTTGTGCCCACGACAGCGGTGACTCAGCGCCGCGGTGCACGTGCTGCTGCCTCACCTGCCCCGTCATCGGTAACTGTCGGTGGGACTACTTCTCGGCGAGCCCCTGCGCGCGGTAAGCCAGCTCAGTCTACGCTCAACTTCTCTGCTTCACAGGCCAGCGCGCCTCAGTCATCGCGACCTAGCCGCTCCACCCGTAATATGAGTGTTATCAGCGATGGTATTGACGACGATGACGATGATGACGCCTTTGAAGAAATGCCGACCAACTCAAGACGTAGGTAATTTATCGAATTTGCATCCATGGATGTTTATGGCTTTATGCATGGAGTTATCGAAAACCAGGGCGTTTAAAAATCAGCGTTGCCTTCAATCCTTGATATCTTCAAATATGATTCTCATCAGATATAATAATAAATAATAAAGTAACAAGGGCAGTACTTGGAGCTCTGAGCGAGATTGAAGTATACAAAATACGCTAGTCTCAACACGGTAAGTAGCTTCTAAGGTTATATCGCAGGACATCTGGGCACCTAAGCAGTTTCCTTTGCCACTCAGACCCAGAGGTTTTCAATAAGCCACAATATCCCAAGATCACTTTCAACTGTGGCAAATATGTGATACTTCTTTCAGGGAGACCAGACAGATGTCCTTCGATTAACCCCGCATTCACAGCCGAGGGACACAACCACCTCGGCCGTGCAACGAGGGGAGAATATGAAGGAAAAACTAGGATATATGATATTCTATTACCTCTGTGTACATAGAAGACAACACTGGAAGCACAATGACATACAAGAGTCGACCCATTCGCATTGCAGGTTAGTTGACTTGCATTCATGATGTACTCCAACTGACCTTTTAGGTGCCTCGGGCTCTGCCTCAGACCGGCGTCATGCTATTGCTGATTTTGCGCGTCACCATCCGACCGATCCTATTGATGTCATTATTGCTGATTTCATGAGCGAGTTTAACATGGCCACCGCCGCGGGTCGGCGTGTGGACCAGGCGATCTCCCAGGAAGCAACAGCCCCGGCCTATGAGCTCTCCTTCCTAGAAGCACTTGAGCCGGCTCTAGGTGATTTGGCCAAATATGGAATCAAGCTCGCGGTCAATGCTGGAGTGACTGACACAAAGGGTCTATACGAGGTGGTGATACGCATGGTGGAGGCAAAAAACCTGGACTTGAAGGTCAGTCAGCGCCTTGCCCAAACACTGATCAACAATTGCTGATTTTGGTGCCCAGGTTGCATGGGTTGCCGGAGATGAAGTTCTATCTACCATCCAGAAGGGATTGAAATCCGGGTCTGAATTTCGCAACGTTTACACGGGCGAGCGATTGGCAGATTGGTCATTCGAGCCCATCTATGCCCAGTGCTATCTCGGTGGCCTCGGTATCGCAGCCGCACTCGCAGATGGTGCGGACATTGTATTGTGTGGACGGGTCTCAGATGCTTCGCCTGTCATCGGAGCTGCTTACTGGTACCATGGTTGGCAGCGAGATGAGCTTGACAAGCTGGCGAATGCGTTTGTGGCAGGCCATCTGATCGAGTGCAGCAACTATGTCTGCGGTGGCAACTTCACAGGCTTCAAAGCCCTAGAGCATGCAGATGGAGATGGCTGGACCAATATCGGATACCCCATCGCCGAGATATCTGCCGAAGGCGACGTTGTGATCACCAAGCAGGCCCATGCCACCGGTGGTGCGGTAACTGTCGATACTTGCACATCCCAGCTGCTCTATGAGATCCAAGGACCTTGGTACTACAACTCCGATGTCACGGCGGTCCTCGATGGCATACACTTCTCGCAGCGCGGCGTCAATCGTGTCGCTGTTCATGGGGTTCGATCCAGTCCTCCTCCGCCCACCACCAAGGTTGGTATCACTGCACGAGGTGGGTTCCAGGCAGAGGCATGGTGGTTCTTGACTGGTCTGGATATCGAAGCCAAAGCTCGCATGCTGGAGGTACAGATCCGCCAATTGTTGTCACCCTATTCAGACCGATATACATCGCTGAATTTCGATTTACTGGGCTCTTCCCTCTCTGATCCGCACGACCAGAACCGCGCGACTGTGCCGCTTCGCATCATTGTACAGGCACGACATGCAGAGGACCTTGCACCGACACAGTTCCTCAAACCTATCACCGATAACATCATGCAGGGGTACCCTGGCGCTACGTTTCACTTGGATATGCGTCAGGGATTCCCGCGTGCTATTTTTGAGTACTATGTCAGCCTGCTACCACAATCCGCAGTCCAGCATCGCGTCCACCTGCCCTGGAAGCCGACGGCATCCACGCAGACTCTCGATATCTCGCCTCCGGCCAACACCAGGACATATCCATCACGCCAACCCTCACAGCCCAGCACCCACACTGATGGGCCCGTCGACCTGGCCCGCGATTTTGGGCCAACGACTCGTGGTCCGCTAGGCTGGATCATTCATGCACGCTCTGGGGATAAAGGTGCGGACGCTAACTGCGGCTTCTGGGTGCGTCACCGTGACGAGTACCAATGGCTGCGGGCGTTGCTGTCTGTGGACAAGGCGCATGAGCTGTTGGGAGAGACTGCCCGCGAGAACCGTCAGTTGGCGGTTGAGCGCTTCGAGTTGCCCAGCCTTCATGCCGTGCATTTCCTATTTCGCAATCTACTAGATCGGGGTGTCGGTGTGACCACCACGGTCGATTTCCTAGGAAAGAATGTGGCGGAGTATCTGCGGGCCCGGCATGTTGATCTTCCTGTACGATTCTTGAACCGCGGAAAGTTATAGCCCAATTCCCAGATAATATCAAGTCATGTGATTCTCTAATCCTTAAATTTCCAAAAACGCTTATTCTCGGCCCGATTAAGAGGAAGAAAAGAAAAAGAGCTTCACCGTACCTTACCCACCGACAGCGTCACCGGGGAGATAATAGCCCGCCTTCACATATCTCTCCGTTCCCCACTGCCCCTCTTTTCCTTTGGGCCGAAATAAGAGTGCGTTTTGTGTACATGTGTACATGTGTACACATTATACACATGTACACATTATATATACACCTGTGGGATGTAGGACTAGTAGTGATATAAACTTGTAAGCTTGTATACCTCGGAAGTTCTACCGAAATTATACAAATATTACCTCGGCCTTACCCCGAGAGGGGCACACGCCAAGACCAACCTACAAAGACATTGTACACAGAACTATACATACGGAGTATTATGTATAGTCAATATGTAACTTAAATAGAAGGATATATTACCTACATCCACGGATAATGGTAATTTAATATCCAATATTTAATATACACACATACATACAGGTATAGGAGCTTCAATGTCTTCAAAATGACAATACAAAAAATACATACAGTACCATTACCCCATGGTGGCGTTTGACCCCGCATCAAGAAAACGAAAACCGAAGACACCGAATTGCAAGTTCTCCATTACCGTATATAACAAAGGTCCCCCTCTCCCTCTTCTCTTTCTTGCATCTATTTCATTTAAACAATCATGTCTCTCTCTACTACTATCAAGACTCCCAATGTCACCTATGAACAGCCTCTCGGCTTGTAAGTGAATTACCCTGTCTATCCGTCTCATTGCTAATTGATTCTTAGGTTCATTAACAACGAGTTCGTCAAGGGTGTTGACGGCAAGACCTTCGAGACCTTAAACCCTAGCACCGAGCAGGTCATTACCTCCGTCTACGAAGCTTCCGAGAAGGATGTCGACATAGCTGTCAAGGCTGCCCGTGAGGCCTTCGAAGGTCCCTGGAGGAAGGTGACCCCCTCAGACCGTGGCCGTATGCTTACCAAGCTGGCCGACCTCTTCGAGCGTGATATGGAGACCCTAGCTTCCATTGAGGCCCTCGACAATGGTAAGGCCGTCACTATGGCCAAGGTCGATATCGCCAATGCTGCTGGCTGCCTGCGCTACTACGGCGGTTGGGCCGATAAGATCACTGGTCAGACCATTGATACCAACTCCGAGACCCTCTCCTACACCCGTCACGAGCCCGTCGGTGTCTGTGGTCAGATCATTCCCTGGAACTTCCCTATTCTCATGTGGGCCTGGAAGATTGGTCCCGCCATCGCTGCCGGTAACACTGTGATCATTAAGACCGCTGAGCAGACCCCTCTGTCCGGTCTGTACGCCTCTAATCTCATTGTTGAGGCCGGCTTCCCCCTGGCGTTATCAACGTCATCTCCGGCTTCGGTCGTGTTGCTGGTGCCGCCATCTCTAGCCACATGGACATTGATAAGGTCGCCTTCACTGGTTCCACCCTTGTCGGCCGTATGATTCTGCAGGCTGCCGCCAAGTCTAACCTGAAGAAGGTCACTCTTGAGCTGGGTGGCAAGTCCCCTAACATCGTCTTCGAGGACGCCGATATTGATAACGCCATCTCATGGGCCAACTTCGGTATCTTCTTCAACCACGGCCAGTGCTGCTGCGCCGGTTCTCGCCTGCTGGTCCAGGAGAGCATTCACGATAAGTTCGTCGCTCGCTTCAAGGAGCGTGCCGCTCAGAACAAGCTCGGCAACCCCTTCGAGGGTGACACCTTCCAGGGTCCCCAGGTTTCACAGCTCCAGTTTGACCGCATCATGGAGTACATCAACCACGGCAAGAAGGAGGGTGCTACTGTCGCCCTGGGTGGTGAGCGCCACGGTACCGAGGGCTACTTCATCCAGCCTACCGTTTTCACCGACGTCACTCCCGATATGAAGATCGCCCAGGAGGAGATCTTCGGCCCCGTCATCGCCGTCACCAAGTTCAAGGATGAGGCTGATGCCATCCGCATTGGCAACGGCACCAACTACGGTATGTATTGTTTACATCCAAAACCATGAATGGTTATTCTAACTGTATTTAGGTCTCGCTGCCGCCGTTCACACCAAGAACATCAACACTGCCATCCGTGTTTCTAACGCTCTCAAGGCTGGGTATGTTTGATCTTGATCGATCCTTACAGTAACAAAAGCTAACTCTATTGCAGTACCGTCTGGATCAACAGCTACAACATGATCTCCTACCAGGCTCCCTTCGGTGGCTTCAAGGAGTCCGGCCTTGGCCGTGAGCTCGGTTCCTACGCTCTTGAGAACTACACCCAGGTCAAGACTGTGCACTACCGCCTGGGCGATGCTCTGTTCTAAAATAATAATGAAAATAAATTAGTTCAGTGATTCAAGCCAATGAGATGATAATTGGAAATTCTCGTTTTGTATATAAACCAAATTGAAGGGACGTGCTTGCGATCAACTACTTTTCCAATACCGGTAAAAATTTATGGTAATTTGAGAGCGTGTTCAGAATCTAGGCCAATATGTAAGTTTGACTAGTCTAATGATACAAGCCTAAATTACCGATAAAATCCATATTGCTCATTCCCCAGGTTGTCCCGGGTAAGATTGGGCTGGTCACTATCGCGGTGTCATTGTATGCCGCTCGGTACATCTCGCCCCGAGAGGCTCGGTGAGTACAACAATCAACTCCCGGCTAAGCTCGGGATTCTCGGCAGGATTCAAGTTATATTGGTCTAGAAGTATACTAGTGGGGCAATAAGATTTGGTATGTACTATGTATTCATGGTTTCACTGTGTAGAGCTCAAATATACATCTCGATCAGCACAAGCCAAGCTAAATGATGAAAACTTGACCAATAACTGGTTCCCTGTCTCCAGAAATTTGCCTTTGCATTATGCGCCAACTGCACCGATTGTAACCCCGTTCGGCAGCTCAAGTCCGATGGGAAGTCCGCACAAGAACTTGTCGGTATACATTGTCCCGCGCTTGATGGCTAGTTTCTCTTCAATATCTCTATACATGTCATAGCTAGTCGTTGTCAGTATTGCTCAAACTCTAAGGTCTGTCAGACTCACGCATTCATCTCCTCTATAGTCAAAACCTTCTTCGTGTCTTCGACTTTATATGTGGGGATATCTTTGTTGACGGAGAAACCTGTCCACTAGTCAGAAAACAATGTACTGTAATACTTTGAAACAAAAGTCACTCACCAATCCGTTCGTTGATATTATAAGCCGCCTTGGCTGCTGCTGCCTGTACCCTTGTAACACGAGGCAGACGCACCTCCTCGTAAACAGCAAGGGCTTGGGCGATATCTCCAGAGAAATAACGCTTATCAAATAGGAGTCCAAGTGCTGCCGCGTCTTCGATAGCCATGCAGGCTCCTTGGCTTTGATGAGGCATCATCGGGTGTGCAGCATCCCCCAAGAGACAGGTGTTACCCCGTTGGATATATGGGTATGGGTCATGGATCCAGAGACGCCATGGCTTGATCTCGGTCCCAATCATCAGATGATTAAACACTTGTCGATCCAGTTCCGGGTATGGGGTCAGGAGTTCCTCGACAGGGCGGTCCTCGGCGCCCCATGCCTGTGTCGAATAGTCGCCTTGGTCACGCGAGAAGAAGCAGTAGTACGACAGAAGCTTGCCGCCATTACAGGGGGACAGAACAATCTTGTCCCATTTGCCTTCCTGTCCACCCCAGTACTCTAGTGCGCTATCGTCAGAGTAGTTGACCAGGCCGAGCCTGATGGCATCCTCGGTTTTGACATTGGTGTGCAAGCAGCTCTGGTCGGAGGGTCGCTTTTCTGGTGTGATACCAAGAATTCCACGAACGGCTGATCCGATTCCATCGGCACCAATGATTAGGTCGTGGCTTATCACCTCACCGTTCTCGAAGACGACTGTACTCGTCTTCAGATCTATATCGCGGCACTGGATCCCAGACAGCATTAACACATGGTCGATTTTAGTAGGTTTCCGGTGACAAACTTACTCGGTAGTTCACTTTGAGAGTTGCTGGGGCTCCTTCACCCTCGCCCAGCGCCGAGTCCTTGAGCATGGTATGCATGTACTGACGATGGAACATGTTGTAGGCATATCCCCAGCGCTTCTCATAATCGTCGAGGTCGTACACACTAACGGGTTCTCCCGTCTTCCAGTCACGGTTGATAAGCTTCTTCAAAATCACAGGGTCCCCCTTGGCGATATCCACGTTCCACTCGTGTAACCAGCGGGTTCCATTGGCTGCACATGAAACCGAAGCGCCAACTTCACCTGCAAAGTCCGACTTTTCATAGATGGTCACGGTGTGTCCTGCACGACGCAAGGCAATTGCAGTGGACATGCCACCAATGCCCCCGCCGATAACGCCTACGTTGAGACTCCTCCAACCTGACATGGTGTATGTATAGAATGAAACTTGGGATTATGAGGTTGGATCAAGGATGTCAAGGGAAATATATAACAAATTCTCTATTAATCCACTCTCTATAAAACTTCATACATCGGCTGGCGGATGATGCACTCGGGTGGCGGGCCGCGCACTGGCGCTTATCATCGGGTTTATCAAATGTATACCTCACCATGTGGGGAGGCGAACTAATAATCTGGGCCTGTTTCTCATTTGAAAATCAAGGGGGAAAAAAAGATGAATGGCTTCTCGTAGACAACCAGATATAATATAAAAAATAAAAACATACAACCGTGAGGATTCGCTGGTGGTCACCCACCCAACTACTAACTCACCGGCGTGTGGCTTATGTGCAGTCAGTAGTCCGGTGGGTGTCGCCGGGGTGAGAAATGGGTGAGCGTCGCTGTGCGGTCGCGCGACTCGGGTGGTTAGGGTGAGTGCGCAATAGACAGGGCGAGAATGGGGTGAGCCTGGGTGAGAATCATAATCTGCAGGGTGACCACTTCACTGACCCCTTTCAGCTGAGTTGGCTTTGGTCTTCGATCGTACTGCCCTCAGCGTCGCATATTTTAGATGACCATGCCCACCATTTATGCAAATTGAAATTCGGTTGGTGATCAATGCGGCACAGAGGTCTAAGGCCTTTTATTTGTTTTTTTCATCTCGACAACATGTACCAGGCACTCAACCCTGGAGGTGATGACAGAAAGAAAGGCGGTCAGGGAAAGGTCACATGACAAATGAGGGGTCATATTCCCACAACTTATTCTTAGCTTAGCTTCTCTCCTTCGTGCAATCTGAGAGTATGGTTTTTCGTCCATTTCCTTCAGTTTGTTCTCAATTTCTGTAGGAACTCATCCTGACCTGTGCTCAAGGGTGTGACACTGAGGTTTTTGCACGCGGGCCGGGAAGGTTGCGGTGCGGCGGACGCTCGGGGGTCTCAGGGGCCAGTCAGAAGTGAGGAATCCAAGGACCCGCTCTTACAAGGTGACCACTCCGAGAACAATGGACAACTTGCAGGCGATTCTGACCCACTCGCCAAGGCTGTTTTTCTCCCAATCATAATCAACCTGTTTACCCCATCCGCGATGCCTTCTCGAGAAGGGCCTCCGTTGCCTGGACGGAGCTCCCCGGTATCGAAGAAGCAACGTGTATCCTCCACGGATGACTCGATTTTCCCATACCCTGTTCTTCCAGCGGACTGCGTCACCAACGATCAGGATGGTTATCTACCGGTGGGGTCCTTACACGAGCTGCGACATTTGATTCCTGTGCCTAGTATGTATTTCCACTTGGCGATGGAGAAAATGATGATCAGCTAACTCTATTGTAGCAACAGACTCTGTTGAGTGGGGCGACAAAGCGGCTGCAGCTAAGCGTGCCTCGATCGAGCCCAAAGTGACAGACACAAATCAACGATTGCTTCGAACGCACCACCCATCTCTTAGCCAACTTGACTCAGTATATCTGGTGGAAGAATCGGAGCACAAGTGGATATGGGTGGTGTCGCCAGGATTTGATGAGACCAGGTCGATTGGCGCTTATGCCGGGGGTCTCGAGATTCACCTCAAACCAACTGGGCTCATGGAAAGGACAACTACGATGTGGCCAAAGTACCAATCGGACCCCATCCCTGCTATTCTCAATCCTCGGAAGTTTTTGTCTCGACATCACCTTCACCTGTTACGAGAAATGTTCCCAACTTCGCTCGGCGCAAGAGTTTTCATAAGTGGTTTCATCGTGATTCTGTTCAAGAGCCGTGCCGACATGGAGAATTCCTGGCTGCAAGATGGACCGGCAAGCACCTTTGGCACCTTAAGACTAAGATACGATATTCTTGAGGACACACCGACCCGGACAATGGTTTCAAAAGGCGCTGCAATTGCTGCAAGGCCAGACTGCGTCGAGGCATACGCTGCGCTTGGGTTGAAGATTCGTTTCCCGGGAGGCCAAGAGGCGATAACCGTCCCCACGCATGCATTTATTACTCTCCGATATATCCGATCAGCTCCTCTCCTTCGAATTGCAGACTGGTATGGTCACATTAAGATGAAACTGGCTCGATATTCCCCCATCAAAAGTGGGTTATCTATGCGAGCGATTGGGTCTGCTCGGCGTCATCCAATGGGTAATTCGCCACTTGGTCAGCAAGTGTTCCTCGCTGGAAATTCAAAACAGGTATGCTTGCTCTGCTATCATCTGTGGCTGTCTAACAACTTACCGAGAATAGATCGGGACCATCTCTTTTACCTACGATCCGATTTCAGCAAGGCCCCTTCGTTTCCCGACTGGGTTTGTGCATGATCTATCATTGATCACAAATTCCCAGGAACTACCGGAAGTTACATCCCCTGATCGAACACCATGTGTGGTTGGTTGGGGTAGTTATACAGACCTTCTTGATGGAAAACCAGTCTTTGTGACAGGCCTCAATATTCCCACAGGCAATACCATTGTGAGATCAGGAAGCGGGATATCAAGGGAAGCACAGGCAGCGCTCACAGAAGGCTCGCAGTATCTCTGGGACAGAGAAGTACTATCGCAGAATGTTTCGATCCTATGGCGGACTGAAAATGATGAAGACCCGCTAGGAGGCCTTTCGGGATCGGCGCTATGCCTCGGACAACTGCAAGACAAAACCTGTCTAGCGGTTTGTTTCCAGAACTTTGAGTCCCCTCTATATTCGCGAGAGCTGCTGAAAGACGACCATCGTGGTGCACCACAATACGCCGATCGCGTTAGAATCAAAGGGGGCTTTCTGCTACCGCCAGAGGTCAGAGCCACCCAGATCCTATGCAATCCATCCGAAACACCTACGGCATCGGGGACTTATCCCAGCCGATCGAACCCAACAGCGGGCCTAAGGAGATCATATTCCTCGACTCGCTGATATTGCTTTGTATTTCTAATGTATAATTAACACTTGACTTGGTGCCTAACTCATGGCTGTTAATCAAGGCTAGCTTCTCAATTCTACCATACTTTAGCGCCCGTATTGCACAAGCGAAGTAACATGTATACATAGCCATGTGGTGCACTATAGACCGCTAGTTTGACCACCGCACTTGAGTAAATTTCAATGGAAGCCTACAGATCAACTGCTCATATGTTTTATTTTTATTTTTTATTTTTTTTCTTCTTTGGACACCTGAACAGAAATAGAACTGAAGATGAGTGCATTTTAGATGTTGAGAACCTATGGCATCGTGATCTCGGTCCCTAGAAATTCTGCACAGCTCCATATTTTCTTTCAATTCCCACTGGAAAGAAACGCAACTTTGCTTCAGATTAGGGATTCTTGGCTTTTTCAAAGAGCCTTTCAAAACGAAATTTACATGGATTAGAAAAAATCTACCTAATAGTTTGTTCTTATTCAAATCTCCTCCAGCCAAATCCTACCCCTTTCTTTGTGCTTATTTCTAGATAATATTAGCCAAAGACCTCGAAATTCAGAACCGAGTTTAAACCCTTATTCTTTCATTGCATAGCGTATACGGGAGCATTGGAATGAAGAATTTGAGAGATTGAGTCAACCAGTCGAGTCGAAGGACTTGCGGTGGACCGGGGGCATAGCCCGAGTAATAGAGGCGCTATTCCGCAGCTATAAAAACGTCTCTACTGCTTCAACATCTATTCTCCTATCCCACCTACCACCATGAGCTATTTTTCTCCAGACACACTAGCTATATTTGCGTCTGAAGAAGAGAGGCTAGAAAAGAATGTTGAATTCGTTATTCCAGACCATCTGATCACGGTGGGCTCCAATGCCTTGATTGCTGCTGGATTTACGTCTTGCACGGACCATGACTGTCCAAACGTGCAGAACAAGAAGAATATTCACCCCGTAGCCCCTGTACATTTTCACATCGAGTCTCAATATCCTCAATACTATGTGCTAGTGTTACGGCTGTACCCTAAGCCTGGCCATCTCTGGTGGCTTCCAGACTTTGGGATAGGCTCTCCTGCTACAGATGACCCCGACTTGATGCTTTCCAATGACCCTCGACCCCCACCATATGTCAAGGTGGGGCGTCAGGCTCCGAGGGGTGTTCGGGCCCGTGGAGGGACCTTTATCCTATCCAGATCCTCAACCAAAGCTCACACGCCGATGCAGTCCTGTTGTTACTTTTGCGAGACTACGATCACGCCAATTTGTATGATTATACATGGAGGAGACTGTTTTATCAATTGTTGGAAAGCGAAGATGACCCCAGATTAACTGTCAAAAGAACCCTCCGTCCTCGATTCCAAGCTATGTTGGAGGAAATCAATTTCCTCACAGATCAGAGCACACGAAGTATGCTTGTCCCGATAGTCGAACTTATGAAGGAAATGAGGGATAACAATGAGCTGCCACCTCCCCTTCCCGTCAATTGGGTTGAAACAGTTGAGGCCGCTAAAAAGGCAGGTCGTTGGACACTTCCTACCTGTCAAGGAAATCGAAACATCTTGCATTGAGGTGTGAAAAAGTATATCTCACTTTCTGAAGTGATACATTCCTCCGAGGTAGGTGTCCCTTCATTTTCTCCCAACCAGGAGTGAGGTGGTAGGCTTTTGTCAAACGCCTTTGTACAAAGTGTTCAGTTACTTGTTTCCTTCTTTTAGACAAATTGTTTCAGACCGGGTAATCCGATTTCTTTTCTTTTATTTCTCTATTTTCCATTCAGATTCAATCATGACTAGAAAATCGCCTACGCTACTTTCCTTAGAGACCGCCGCTAAAACAGCCTGACGTTATCTTCAGGAATTTGAGGAGTTTCAACAAGTTCGAATACTTGTGAGTGACTTGGCATTGTTGAAACATTTCCCTGACTGTGAGGTATTTGGCCGTGATTCGACGAAGGTGTGTTTCTTGTCCTCGAGTGAAGCCATACAGCGAAGTCAAAGAAGAAACTGACTTGATTCTTTGAATAGAATGTGGAACTTCTCATCTACCTTGGAGATGACTTTGATGATCGAGTACACGAGCTTCCCTCAGGGGCTTCGGATCTGTTGAAGTTAGGCCTACTCTCGATGCATCCAGAGATCTTTCAGCAACCACTCAATCTCTTCCAAACCAAGGTGGCCATCGAGAAGATCCGGAGCACTGTATTTCTTCGATTCCTACCAAAGGAAATAGTGAGTGAGCACTACCAATGCCAGTGTTGTATGTCCATGCTCACCTATCAAAGCTACCCTATATCCCACAAGAAGCATCGAAAATCGTAGAGACTAGGGAAAAGCACATCGATGATCTACCGTATATTTCCGGCCCGAAATTGATCGTTCACTTGATTTTATGTTTCGATTTGAGTGCGGAAAAAAAGAAACGAAGGGGCGAAGTCGATTTGATCAGGTTATTCCTGCAACATCTTCATTCCGAGGGACCGGTTGTTTTCTCACCTGAGCAAAAGAAATCTTTGGCTAGCGGATTAGATGCTCTTACTGAGGATGAAGAATGGAATCAGGAGTGTTGGAGGCAGACTTTGGCTCTTTGATTGAGAAGAAAAAAGCGAGTATAGCTAAAAATTTTCAATTAATCCATTGGAACTAGATTCCACTCTCTGCGTGCTGTGAAAAGAGATGATAATGATCAGATGTGACACTATGTTTAAGGTAGGCCACTCTTTCTCTGTCGACTTCAAGGATTGTGACCCGATAATATCACTCTCTATAACCCTGCCGGGTGACCCTCACTTATTTACGTATTAATTTGATGAAAAGTCACATATAGGGAGAATGTATAAAGGTTATGGCTATTATTACACAGTTAAGCCAAGTGTCAGCCGTCAAATGCAGGGTCTGACCGCGTCACCCTATATTGTCTGACAATGGGATATAACCAACTATATCCCTAGCACTTCCAAGAAATCTTCTCCCCAGAATTATCCCAGAATTATCTCCGAAAAATGAGATTGAATATCCTATGGATCAGTATGACTTTTGCCTTGCAAGCCATGGCTGCACTCTCCCAGTCGGGACTGCAAAAGCGCTACCCAACAGGATCCTTCTCCATTCTTGCCTACGGTGTCGCCTCTGAGGGAATGAATGTTTTTTATTCCGATGGTAGCTATAATATCCCACATGAGACTTATGTCCCATCTGACCCGATACCTAGGACTCGCATATGTCGGGGACTCTTCCCAGTGGGTGTCTGGATCGGTGACAACCGACGTTACATGTAGGATCTAGATCCCTTTTGTTATATCATTTCAATTTGTGTTGTTCCTCTTCATAACAACAGCTGATCCTCTATTAGTCGTCTTCCAAAACTCCCGAATCATCGCCACGGCCACTAACAAGGATTACACCTTTGACGCCGACACGTTCCTCTACATCCGTCCCACACCCAATCAGGTGCTGCCTGTGGGTTTCACTGGGAACGATGTCGATACACCGGACGATGCGAAGGCAGATCAATTTCTTTTCTACGGCAGGTATCTCATGTGGCAAAATGAGAATGGACTCCTGTGCGATTCGTTTCGTCTGAAGGAGACAGATGTCGGTGATGTTTATCAGCTCTACTGGGACACTTCTAATCTTTATCCCCCCGGCTTCTTGACGCCGACTGTGAGGTCGTCTGTTTAGGCGAAAGCGAGTCTACACGCATTCTTTTCATTTTGGGAGCCCAGATAGTCACGTAGTCCTATCAAACATTATGGCTCGTCAAATCCTAGTAAAATACATCTCTAACAAGGTTATATACCTAGTACAGGGAGTCTATATCATATTGTAGTCGATTCGGCGAGAAATGGGAAACTATCCCATAACGGCAAATCCATACCCTCCCAGTCAAACAAAGTCCCATCAATCATGGGGGGTGTGACAGTAGTGGCAGCGCTGTCATCAAAATGCAACCATGGGGATGATGTGACACTCTGCGATTGAAGTGGGGTCGCATTTCTCACTTCTTCGTCCCCTTTAGTTTGTGTCTGTGGTGTTGCCGGGGTGTCGTTCAAACTAAATATCCGACTGACGTATTGACTCCGTTGCTGGCGGGTTTGGGCCGCAAGTCGCTGGCGCTGTTCAATTATAGCTGCCTCTAACAACGTTATAATCTCGAGGTAGTGAGCTGCCTGGGCAGACTGCGAAGCCAGCATGCGCAAGATGGTCAGAGCACCGCGGAACACACCATCAATCTCAGAATCCACATCACTGCGAGAGAACATAGAGAACCCGAGCACAAGGGCTGCAGCAAAGATAAAAGCTCTGTTGGATGTTAGTATTGGAGTCACTAGATGGGGATTTGTGACAGACGAACTTGAGAATACACATATTCCGAAGAAGAAGGCCGGACTTATGCACCTCCAGACATGTTTGCAGCATGTATACAGCAGAATCAATACATGCCGCTGCGAGCCGAGAGTGGGCTAGATCCTCGTCAGGCACCTTCTCACTGGGATCACCCGTCGAGAGGCTGTGGTGTAACCGGGCCAGCCGGACACTTAAGGCCGAGATGAGGAAAGGTCGGGTGACTAAAATCACTGCAAAATGATATGAACATGCAACATGCATGCTTCCAATCGTATGCTCCCGGAAAGTGCTCTGAGCTTTGTGTCCCGAAGACGACGTCCTTAATGATCGCGGCAGATATTCACTCCATGTGTTTAATTTGCATAATAGCAGGTTTGCTTTATCTGCGGATGCAGACTTTTCACTGTAAAGACATGTTATTATTTCATCCAGGATCAACGATAACTGATATGAAGCCACCAGTCCAGGATCACTAGGTGCGGTCCCGATCCAACTAGGGTCTTGTCGGTTCCCGGGCAATAGAGGTGATATAGTAGAAGGTCTCCCGAGGATCGAACTGACAAGCAAATCGAGAATACATAAGCTCATCCATAATCGTGATCTATTGGGGATCAGCTGGGCCAAGTGGATCCTGAGAGAAGATTTTACCGTTCATTGATCCCAGCACTTTCATCGGGGGTTATTGACCCTGGAGAGTCGGCATGAATTCCCAGCGCCACTGCAGCTCGTGATGCCACTCCTAGGTACATGAATGCCGTGTTTCGACGGCACGCCCCCAGCATGTAGAAGGACATGAGTAGAAAGACTCGCACTAGATCCATGCTGGGATCTTCCAACATGTTAGCAAACGCCCCAAGTTGGCCGCGAGCAAAGTAGAACCGCTCCACCTGAAGGTTCTTTGGGTCTTTGGGGTAGGATTGTGCTCCGATAGCAACCATGAGGTCTATGATAGCTGCCCTAGTCTTTTCCCGGTCGGTTTTGGGCTCTACTATGCCAATCAACAAAGATGAAATGTCGTCACTAGAGCTCAAATTGAAGAAACCGCTCGTCTTGCATGTTGTCAGTGATTTATCCACCCTTCATGGTCTGGCATCCATCCTACCGCTGCGTGATAACTCTGGATAAATCGACTCTTCTCATCAAAGGTGCAAAATTCGTCGGAGAAATTCAACAGATCATGATGAGCTTCCGCCTCTAGCATATCCTCCCTGCCACCATTATGAGAGAACTGTGAGGGTCCGATATGTTGAGTCACTGTATCTCGAAGCAATTGTAGAAATGACAGAGAGGCAGCTTTCCCAACGTATACTGCAGACAGAGTCAATCAAATGAGGTCTATAAGGTCCATGAGAGTCAAAAGATCTCATACCTCGTTCCCCTTGCAGGTTGCGGAGCATGCGTGGATGTGTCCGATGCGTAACTTCAGGGGATTGCGAACCCGCCTCCAGTGTATCAAACTCGGGATCGGGCGTGCCAATGTCATGAGACTGCGACATCAAGGGTTGCAAATTGGCTCTTGTTTCCCTCGGTGTCCGAGGTGACTCAACTGTGGGTTGAGAAGGAGGTATACGGCTGCGGAGGCCTACATTTGGTGACTTGAATGGGGTACATGAGCGGCCACGTCCTTTGTGAGTACAGTTGGTGCATGGGAAATAACCACTACAGCGTTTTTTGGATGCACGACAGGCAGTGCATGCAGTGTTTGCTCGCAGCCGATTCGCTGGATGGACCTTGGGGCGTGGCATTCTTGAAGAATCTCCAAGTCTGGGGTTGGATGAGATCCCCGCATACCACCTGGGTAGGTAGTGATAAGGGATAAGGGATACGGGATAAGAGATAAGAGATAACGGTGCGCGGCCCGACTTACTTCGGAAGAGGGACGGGACGTTTGAAAGATTAGTTTTTGTAAGATAAAAGCTTGTTGTATTGCATATTTTGCATGTGTGATACTGCAGAAAGAAATTGAATACTAAAAGTATCACACATTATGTATTCCATTTTTAGGAGTTTCTATACACACTACCAGATAATATATGTATCCATGTACATAGTAGTGTAAAACTGACTAAGAACTAAGATAAGTATAACTAATCGAACAGAACTGGTTGCCCAAAATGATCTTCAACTTGACACATAGAAATAAAGAATCAAGTAATGAAAACCAATATGGACTCTGTATAGACCAGTAGAATAGAGGAAGTTGAAATTTTTATATAGGATCCGCTATAAGAAGAAGGATTGACAGATGATTGGACAAGGCGACGACACTAGACCAAAGGCAAACCAAACATATCAAACAAACCAGACAAACAAGAGCACTCTCGCTTAGCACTAGCGTGACTGTCAAAGACTATAAATAAGGCCGGCCCCCCGGACCTTCTTTTGTTTTTCAAGCGACTCTACGTATGTTCATCATCCCCCATACAGTTTCAAAACTGTGAGAGAGCATTTTACTGACTATTTCCCAACAGTTCAAAGAATCACTTTAGAGTAGACGTCCCCTTTCTAAACTCTTTAAAAGAGCCACAGAATCTCCACCCTTGCTGATGACTACATGTCCTCGATGCCCTAAAGTGAAACCTTTTTACTCCCGCCTCGACTGTCACGCGTGCTGTTCGCAGTGTCTGTGTTTCGGTCCAGGGAGTGGTGATGATCTTGACCTGGTCTCGGCGTCTGACTTCGGTCGGTCGGTCCTGGTGGGTGTCGAGGAGGTCTGAAAGGTCCTCTTCCACTTTGTTTGGTATGGAGAGCTGTGAAGGGATTTATGCAGATAGCAAACAAATTTATAATCATTTCAATTGGCTCTTTCGGATTTGGTTCTGTTCGTATTCTACTTAGGCTGGTGTACAGATAACCTAGTTACCTCTTCAGCATACGGCCTACACGCAATCGGTGCCCCTTCATGGTGGTTATATTGCATGGACTTTTCCATTTTTTGTTTTGTTTTCTTTTCTGCTTCGCCCTCGGCAACGCTGTCCTGACCGAGCTGAATCCTTTCAATACTGTGTTTATACTGCCTGGTTTAATGAGCTGGTCATAGTATAAATCCATTGCCGCGCCCATCATATAGTTATCGGTAAAACCTGTCATGCCTTCGGGTATCATGTCTCGTGAACTGCTAAAGAACTGAATATGTAGGCTCTCATTTCGGCTCGGTGCTTCCAGTTTTCTCCGAAGCTCCAGCGCTCCCCTTGGGTCCCTTATTCCGTGATCCACGTCCGCCACGAGATCCACGAGAGGAGCCAGCATTACCTCCAACATTACCGCCAGCCCCTGAAGCGCTTCCAGAAGCTTCGGTAGGAGCCTTGGCCTTATTGGCAGTGAAACCCTCGCGGCCTTTCCGCGACTTCTCAATTCCGGGATTCTCTTTGCGCTCCAACACCACAACTTGACTCTGGGCCACCGACACAGGACTCGCAGCGATGGCTTTGCGAAGTGCTTCCGGTTCAGCAAAATCTACGTAGCCGAATCCCTTCTTTTTGTCAATCTCAACCTTGGTCACTGTTCCGAATGGGGTGAATGCAGACTCCAGGAGTGCCTCGGTCACACCCTGGGATGGGTTGGCGTGCTTAAGGAATGCCTGTTTAGCAGTTGATGGGTGCTTTGCTTTGCCGCCTTTAGTAGACTTGACTGGTAGGGTTGCAGGGGGCGCAGCCGCATCAGCTCGCGAGGATGACTCGCCGTCCTTGGGCTTTGGAGTATTGGCTGTGGATGATGCCGTTTTGGGAGGCCTGGTCTCCTTCTTGGGTTGGTCGGTTGATGGAATAGCTGAGTCTCGAGAGCTCTCGCTCTTGGACGTAGTATCAGTCGAACCCCCTTTGCCACGTCGTCGCCCACCAGATGTCGTGAGTCCAAGATCACGCTGAAGGATCTTGGTGGCCACTGTGACATTTCCGCGCTCTCGCTTCCGCTCTGGAGCTGCAGTTGTATCTTTTGCAGTGCTTGATGTGGTACTCGACTTGCCTCCTTTGGCATTGGCAGCGGCTCCTTGCTTAGTTGCTTTGACAGAGTCCTTGCTTGTTTTTTCTCCTTTGGATTTCTTGTCGGAAGAGGTGGCGGCTGTTTCCTTATCGCCCCGCTGCAAAAGCTTTTTCGCTTGCACCTTCTCCTGCTTAGACTCCTTGTCCGATCGACCGTGCTTGGATTTGGATCCGCTGCCGTCCTTTGACTTGCTAGCTTTCTTGTCTTTGATGAACTGTACCAGCGGGGTGGTCATTACGGCCTCCTTCTTCTTGTCTTCACCATCAACCGTGGAATCCATAGCCGCGGGCCTGATAATGGGCTGGGTCAGACTTTCCAAGAAAGCGATGAAGTCGGAATCTTGATCAATCGTGCCTTGACGAGCATCCTTGCGCGACCGGCTTCCGGGAGTCTTGGCGTAAGGTGCAAACTCCAGCGATGGAGGTCCAAGTAGAATGGGGTCATGTAGAGTGTTACGAGCATCCTGGAAAGAAGCCTGGCGCACGGCGTCTGAGAGCGAAGGAACGCATTCGGTGGACACAACGTGGATGTATGCTCTTGACGGGCGAGATGGCTTGTTCGGACTATTTGAAGAAGTCCAGTCAGTCGAAATCAATAGAAGATTGCGTCAGAGCGTGAATCCTACTCTTTCGACACCTTGCCGGGTTTGTACTGAAGCCAGTCGACGTTTCCTGCCCCAGCCTTCCACTGATCACCGAGAGCACTCTCCAGCTCGGCTTGTGTTAGTCCGGGCGGCAAACGTCGAATGAGAAGTTTGAGACGTGGAGCGGGAGGCTTGGGCGTTTTCTTTGCGGGCGCTCCAGAGCCCGACTTTTGCGTAGCTGCCGCTGAGATTGGGAGCAGACCAGCGGTGGTCTTGCCAGGCGGCATCATGGTGAGCCTTTTCGATATAGAGGGCCGAGGTTATGATTCTCTTTCCCAACACGAAGTCATGGAAATCCCGAAGGATGTTAAACAACGGAGCCAGCCAGCCCACTTGTCCAAGTTGGCAATCTACCGGGGGCATCTACGGGGCTTCAAGCCGGTGTGATTGGACTAGAGCCTCACCGCCTACCTATATCACTAGTCATGAGCACGTGCTAGCTAACGTGCACGTGCACCAACTTGCTGACATCATCAGTCATCATCTCCAGCCCTAGAGGACCTCACACAACACCCTGGACGTACGGAGTAGCACAACCACTAAAATACATGTATTGGCAAAGCTTTTGTATGAATTTTCTATAGCTATGTCATGGACAACCACAGTGAAAACTCGGCGGTTTTGACCTTGGGAGGTTGGACGAGGTCATACTAGTCTTATCGATAAGCATCTCTCTTCGACCTCGCAACACTCTACCTAGGTAGATCTCCAGAATGAGCGACGAGAAAAGCCCCGTCTTGGAGAGCCAAGGAGACGCACCGAACCCGAGACAGAAAAAACGGCCCTTCAATCTACTCTGGCTGTTTCTCTGTATCATTGTATCCACCGCCTGGTTCACACGGTCGCACTACCCCTTCCCCCTCGGAGCATCGAGGAAAGGGTGCAGAAGATACTGTCCCAGACTCCATTGATCGGTATGGAAATCGGAGTGAATACCTCTGTATGGACAATTATGACTGATGGCCTAAAACAGACGGTCATGATGATCTTCCCATCTTGGTCCGGGAACGCTTTCACAACCGCGTAAATGATCGCAACTTCACTGAGGCTTTTGTCATGGGGAAATTTCCCGGCCACGTTGATATTCCCCGATTGAAACAAGGTAGAGTTGGTGGTACGTTTTGGAGTGTGTTCGTGCCCTGTCCCGAGAATGGGACCGATTTCTCCGACGGGAATTATGCAGCAAGTAAGGCAACTTGGTACGATGGCTGTTGGATAGTACACTCACATTGGAACCATAGGTGTGCGTGAGACGATGGAGCAGGTGGATATCATGTCGAGGATTCAGCAAGCATATCCTAAGGTCTTCTCGACCCCGCCAAATGGTACTACAGCCATGTCCGCTTTCCGCGCAGGAAAGATCATCTCACCGCTTGGTATCGAGGGCTTGCATTCGATCGGAAACTCACTGGCCCACCTCCGGATCTTCTATGAGCTGGGGGTTTCGTACGCAACTCTGACGCATAATTGTCATAATCGGTATGCCGACGCCGCCATTCTCGAACTTCCAGGCGGGGGAATAAAAAAATCCGATCCTCTCTGGCACGGTGTCAGTGAAGAAGGCCAGAAGCTGGTATTTGAGATGAACCGCCTTGGGATGATCGTCGATTTAGCCCATGTTAGCACGGAGACCATGCGTGATGTGCTGGGTGCTGGCAAGTCCGAATGGGTAGGGAGTCGTGCTCCAGTGATTTACAGCCATAGCTCAGCCTATGCACTATGTCCCCACCCGCGCAATGTACCCGACGACATCTTGGAGCTCGTCCGTGAGAAGAACTCCCTGGTTATGGTCAATTTCGCACCGGACTTTATTTCCTGCACGGCGTCTGATCGCGCTGATGGGATCCCAGACGCGGACCCTGTTCACGCCACTCTGGAACGTGTCGCTGATCATATCCTATACATTGGTAATCTTGTAGGCTTCGAGCATGTCGGGATAGGTAGTGATTTTGATGGTATTCCGACGGTTCCTCGAGGATTGGAGGATGTGTCCAAGTTCCCGAGTCTGATAAAGGAGCTGTTGAAACGAGGAGTCAGTGATAAAGATGCAAGTAAGGTGGTAGGAGGCAATCTACTAAGGGTTTGGAAGAAGGTGGATGAGGTGGCGCTCGAGATGCAAGCTGAGGGTGCATTGCCTGTGGAGGACTGACCCTTTGGGGCACTTGGAGTTCATTTCATTATCAATTTCCCAAGAGTGATGCTATCTTGAGTGTCATAGTCATATTGTCAAAGCAACCAAACATTTGAAGATCAAGAATCTCCATATTGGAAAGTTCATCTTGAATTTGCTATCTATCGTGGTCATGGCAGACCAAGCCATTACTAGCAGAGTTCACCTTCAAGCATTATAACCTCGAATCCGCCCAGGGTAGACTTTCTCTAAATCAGCGTAGTAGAAGAAGTAAACCATAGCTCTTTTCTCATGTGCTCTCAGCCAATACTTTGCATCTGAATATCCGGATAGTGGCCATTGATGGTCGGAATAAAGCCAACAATGTCCTAGACCAAGGAATCTGATCTATATACGTTATATATAGGTGGATATAGTTTAAGAGTACGGCCCTTCCAAACAGGTGACTATATTGACGTTACAGCAAGGGGAGGGTATTCACCATCCCTGGAGATTTCATTCACAATATGCTTCAGCTAGTTACAATCACTGTCCTCTCATAAGTACCTGATCAATAAGCCTCATCAGAATATGCATCCAATTTGATATCTGGAGAACTCAAATTGACCATTTAGCAGCCAAGGTTGATTGCTATTTTTTTTTCGTTAGTTGGTTTTAATTTGGGGGGAATTGACCTCGGACACTTACCATTGGCATACAGGGCATACGAGTCAGCGTTCAACACAGCCTTTGCGCTGGTGAGGGATGTGGCAGCGGCATATCCGTATCCGTTGTCATCAGTTCCCGGGCTGTAAACTCCTGGAGCATGGGTGAGCTCATGGAGAGTGGTGGTTGCTTGATCTTGGCTGTGGCATGTGCTAGCCAATGCTGGGAGGTCGCTGTAGTAGAGATCGCAATTGGCGATCACATTTTGAGATGGCAGAGTGTAAGCCAAGACATTGGGCTCGCAGCTATTTGTATTACATTTGTAAGCCACGTATGCACATAAAGCGTTCACCAAAAGGATCTACTTACTATCCCAGGGTATCTGAGCAGTAGTACTTGGTGGCAGACACCGAGCCGGCCTCTTTCGCAACAGCCTGAAGGCGAGCAGCCACAACCTTGCGTGTAGCAGTGCTGGTGGTCTTGAAGTACTCCTGGAACCTATTGGATGCCATTAGAATGGTAAATCGCAGTAAAATGGTATGTAACATACTTGGAGGCAGATCCAGAAAGGGCAGCCGTTGCGGCAGCGTTTGCGAGCGACACAGTGTTCTTGAGGGCAGTGTTAAGAGCTGACTTCTTGCTCGAAGAACTGCAGGTTTGAAGAGCACGACGATCGAGCGGCTTGATAGCCTTCAGCACACGGGAGGCCTTGGCACCGTCAACCTCGATCTTGAGATCATTGGAACGGTATGGCAGATAACCAGTGACTGTGCCATCAACGACTATGGGCACCAGGCCGGCCGACTGAAGAGTCAATGGACCTCCGCTAGACAAGTCAGTGGTAGTGGCAATGTCAAATTCATCCTCGAAGGTCTCTCCTGCAGCAAGGGAAGTGAGAGATTCCGAGCTGAGACCCTCGAGGACGAACCGGCGCTTGATTCCCTCAAAAGTGACCTCAGCATCTTATATCAAATTAGCATTAAGTAGATAGGGTCAGGAACAATCCAAGGTACCGTTTTTGAAGACATTGACCTTCTTCACGGGTGCGTTGTCGCGGAAAAAGTTGAGATGCACAAATGTGACATCTTCACTGCCAGAGTTCTTCACGACAGCCTTGATGCGGGTGTCACTGATACGGCTCAAGGTGATATCGAGACCAGAAGTCTCATCGGTATCGACTGGCAAGGCGTTCACAGCCAGAGCCAGAAGTGTCGTGGAAAGGACAGCGAAACGCATGATGCTCGGAGGTCAAAAGAATCTAAAAGGTTGATTCTTTCAAAAAAAGGTTGTAATTCTGATGTCTTGGATGCTGCTGGAATATAAAGCTCCTATTCTCGTGAGGATATTGACTGCTTTATAGCCCACTGACACGAAGTGGAATGCCGCGGTTTCCTCTCTCCATCACCCCCCTGTTGCCCAGAAGGACAGCGGAAGAAAGAGGGTGGTATCTTCTCTGCATGAAACAACTTGATCACGCCAGCAGACCGTGAATAGGAAGGGCACGGGAGACCTGCGGGCACGGGAGACTAGCGGGCAATCTTGTCACTGGTTGAAGATATCTTGAGATAGCTACATCTCCAGAAAGATCATCACGGATTTCGTCTTGGCCCGACGGAAACCCGCGCCCCTGAAGGACCGACTTGAGCTTGTATGCCCGAAGGGCTTATGAAGCTGCATTTGATTCCTCATGCTTGAAGAGCGGGGGCTGGCCGATGTAACTCCTCACGATCGGCTCTAGATAAAGAACTCAGCGCTAAAAGCAAGCCACTGAATAGGCCTTTATGTTTGGCCGAGGTATGGAATTAAGTATACAAGTTGATTAGAACACAAATCTATGCTGACCACCATTATTAGAAGGAGACAAAGACATTGTACTATTCAAAATCAATACACCTCATAATAATATTACTTAATTGTAACAACTGATATCTTTGTTTTCTAAATGACTTGCAAAGCCCCCTCCATTCATATCACGCCAAGCCCTAGACCCTGCGTTTGTCGTCGGACTCCGGTGCCAAGATACCACCCAAGACGGCGCTAAAGTCTTGACTTGATAAACAATGCTTAGTCGCAGCCATTACGGGGTGTCATGTCCGACATAGTTTTGAAATTAGTAGAGGGTTGGCTATTATGAAAGGCCCGGTCTGGCAGGCAACACGATGCCAAGTCTACGAGAAAGGAGTGTTGCACGGAGCCCCGGAGGGAATGTGGTAGAGCACCCTGTTCAGTCGACTTGGCATGCAATTAACAAAACTTGATTGGATTCCCATGAGAGATCGTCCAACATGATCAGCGTTTCTAGATATAAGGCGTGATAACCACACCCACATACCCTCTCAACCTCGGGATACTACTGTCAACATTTCTAGTTACTCCATTATCTCTATTTTCTTTATCCTTTTCTCCTGATCAAAAAAAATATCTTCTTTGGCTACAGATATGGAGTCAAACTTGAGTTTGCAGGTCACATTGACCCCCCAGGCACCGATCCTAGAGGCACAAGAACCATTTGCCCTACCAATCAAAGTTTCTGTTCACAATGCCGCAGATTCGCCAGTCACTATCTTAAAATGGAATACCCCATTAGACCCTCAGGCTGGCGTTCTCGGTGTTTTCGAGATTTGTGACACAACGGACCAACGGAAACTGTCCATTCCTACTATCATGGTATCACGCAAGCTACCTGCCTCTAAGAATGATCTCGTTGAGATACAAGCACGCAAAACCCTTGATGTAACTATCAATTTGCCAATTCAAGGCCTTGAAAAGGGACATGAATATTCCGTTCGTGCACAGGGAACTTGGCATGCGGTGTGGCCAACTGAATTATCCAATGTGACTGTATCCCAGCTCAGGGATAATGAAGGTGCCAGTCGCGGGGACTTCCTGTCCAATGAGTCCTCTGTGAGCATTGAGTGAGCAAATTATTGGATTCCTGGATATGAGGGAAATTGACTGATTGCTATGTCCTACGTCCTACAATCTATTTTATGTGAGATTTGCTGGAGAATGAGATTAGGCCTATTTTCACTATCATTCACATGAGTTTCTGGCAGATAGCAGTTTTGTGTTACACGTTTCAGGGTTTCCGGGTATTACGAAATTTGTTAAACGAGATTTAATCCGATGTCTAGTGTTAAGGTCCACTTGTCATGACTAGAGTGAATCGCAGATGATCAAGTGTTCACTAGCACACATCAATTCCATACAACAATCATGTCTTTCTATAAAGTACCTAGCCCAAAAGACGATGCTAGAGCCGTGTTTGAAGTTCTGAAACGCGGTGGTATTGGGATTATTCCAATGAGTGTTGGCTACGGAATGACCGCGATCGACCCGGACGCATTGGACCGGATTTTCCGCACAAAACGACGAGAACCACACAAGCGATATGCAATGGTTGGCAGTTACCTTCTGCATCGAGAGATTCATTTTCTTCCCCCACAGGAAGCCGCCATAGTCAAACTCTTGACAGTGGACTTGGATCTTCCTATTGGGGTTGTTGCGCCATATCACCTTGACCATCCCATAATTCAAAAGCTTCCACCAAATATATTAGCACAGAGCGTTTTTAAGGGCACTCTAGCAATGTTGGTCAATGGAGGCGCTTTGCTAGACGAATTGTCCCGACTTGCTACCCTAGAAAAACTTCCCCTGATGGGATCATCGGCCAATATCACCGGCAGGGGAGTGAAGATTGTCGTTGAGGACATCGAGCCTGAGATCCTCAAAGTGGCAGATATAATTATTGATTATGGGAGACAAAAGCTCCACCATCCTCGAGCCTCTTCTACCATGATCAATTTTAGAACAATGAAAGTTGTGCGATACGGGGCTTGTTATGATGTGGTACAGGATGCTCTGTGGCGATTTTATGGAATCAAATTGCCAGATGACCCTGGATTGTCGACTCTTTCGTCTGGAGAGACTTCTGCGAACAGGATATAATATACCTAGTGTAATTACAGAATTTGATACTGTTCACTGTTACAAATTGATTTTTAATAGCAAGTTATGCGGGAAAATATAAAAATAACATAATGCGATGGCTTTGCCTTGCATCCACAATATCGCAGGAAAGTCTCAGTTTTCGCTCATAATGAGCGCCATCTGAAAAGCTAAAAGGGATGTAAATGTCAAAGAGAGTTGCTTGCTCCTCTTTATCCCCGGGTTAAAACGGAAACCTATTGTATTGTGCCAGTCAGGCAGAAGGATGCAGTTACATCTCATCGTGTGTTAGCAAGGAAAACCTGATCACGCACTTGGTTTCCATGAAACGTATAATAAAAGAACTAGAGCGGAATAAAGGTATTGCACAGAACTACAAGGGAAGTGCTATGTCAAGGTCATTGTGATGTCTAATCAAAAGCACAAGTGCCGAAATAATGCAGCGATACTTGGTATCTCTCAAGTCTCACTGTTCTACCGGAATTTTCTTGAGAAGGACTTAAAGAATTCAAACTTAGCCGTTTCTCAAAACTAGGTATAACTGATAGTGACAGTGTTTCCGGCGACAGAAGAAGATGTGAGAACCCGATCCTGATAGATGTCCATGATAGTAGCATTTGATGGCCCGTAAGTATTCCTACCGCGCGAGGCAACTGCATTGGAGAATACTACAGTGCCAAAGTTGGCAAAAGGTGCCATTGCGTTGTTTACGGAAAAGTCCTCCACAATCCATTCGGCATTGAACTCGCAGAGGCTACCTCCAAGGCCATGAGGGAATATATGCGTTACAGATACACCCGTGGATAAATTTTCGAGAGTAACAGAGCCGGAACTCCTCGAAGTTGCATCAACTCTCGCTTTGATAACATCGCCAGCCGAAATTTGAATGTTGCTAAAGTCATGGGTGTAGTCTGGATACCATTCGTACCATGCGCTGTACGACGTAGTGTCTCCTTGAATACAGAAATCGATTCCTGTTTGTAAAATGGCTGTATTGCAAGTATCACCATCTATGCCAACCCATGCAGAAGCACAGTAATTTGTGTAGGAATTAGCACCCCTGGGAAGTTGAGGGACGGGGACTGTGATTTCTCCGGATACAGAAGTGTACCCGGTACCAATAAGCACAGCCCCGGCCCAGTTTGAGCTGTAAGTCTCCTGGGATGTCTGATTCAGATAGAGCACTTCTGAGGTACCTGGACTATAAGGTCGGCTCGTTCGGCGTGTGGCTCGGGCAGATCGCTGTATCGCACCGTCCGCCTGTGACCGAGAGGTGAGAGGAGAGGCAATGATAGAGGCGGCGAGTAGCGCAGCACCGATGATTGTGGAAGGAAACTTCATAGTGAAAGCCTGGGTGTTTAGTCGGTAGAAAGCCGTTTCAAGTGTCAGGAATGAAAAGAGAAATTTGATAGAAGGAAGTTAGACGCTTCGCACCAAACCCGACGTTTATATAGCATTACGCCGAATATTTGTTGAACCCAGATAAGCCTAGCTTGTGTCAAAAGAAATGAATGACTGCCAATGTAACATGAGCTCCATGTGAAATGAAGACAAAAAGCGCAGATGATCACTGTCGGAGACCGATCACCAGGGTGAATTTGCGAGGTAGCCTCGCGACCAACGGAATGCACAAGCATCATCTACCTGAACATAATCAATAATAAAGGCGTGCCTTGCAGAGGTATGTTACATGGATTCGGACTAATATATAAATATATATACCGAGGTAGGGTAGCTATAGGCCTGGCTACTCTGATTATTTATTGGTATAGCCTGGCATAGGCGATATGTACAAATAGCAAGCAACTTTGATATAAACAGCGTGATCGAGAATAACAAAATATGAAATATGAGTATCACTTGGCCTTGCGTTACTCCTGGATCTACGTTTCGTCTGTGCCTTTTGGCTTCATATTTACCTACGGGGCACTCACTCGAGGGAGGTGACAAGGGGAGGGTTGTGATAGAAGTTGTCTCACACCTATAGGCCTTGGCTCCTCTCCGCTGGTCTGACTTTCTCGCCATTTCCTTCTTTTACAATGAACGTGCGAGTAGAAATGGGTTGAATCTATGGATTCATTTATCTCGATGAAACTATTCGATGACTTGACCGAGGACCCTTCTGCAAAATACTTGCTTGTCTGTCACGTAAGGAGATACAAGAGGGCAAAATCAAAGGCTTTCTTCATATTTCTGTGCACATTCATGTTGAAGTCCCATGAAATATTTCAAAGCAAATATCGAAAACTTTCAATCTCGTGGTCGGTCTTGTTAGACAGCTCGTCTTGTAATTCTTCGGTCTCCGTCATCTCCCTAGGAGACCCGTATAGCCTATCTCGTCGGCTGTTTTCGGAAACGTAAAAGATATAGAGACAGACCAAGAAGAATATTCCGAAGGCCAATCCTGCCATAGAAGCTTTGATACCGGTCTTATCACGTTAGCACCAAGGAATAGGGACAGGCCATGAGAGTGAAGTACTGACCGGATATGAAGGTTCTTCCGAAGGAATGAAAAATTGTGGCCCGGCAATATTCCCAATGCAGTACGCGGCGAACATGAGGGCGCTCACAGTACTCTTCTTGGTAAGCCCGGCGACGTTCGAACTAATCAGACTGAGAGACAAAGGAATATTGGCAGCAAAGACACCGCCGAGACAGAGACCAGTCATCTTGCCCGCCTTATTATCATCGCCTAGCTTCCAAATCAAAAGCATACCCACCATTGACACCGCTGTATTGACGATCATCATAATTATGCGAGATCTTGGAACAAGGGAGGCGAACCCCGAAGTAAGGAGGAGAAAGACAAGCTGAGCACCACCAATAGGCATCTGAATAAGAAGAGCCTCTAAATGAGGGAATCCAAATCCGGTGATAATGATAGCAGAGAAACTTGTGATACCACCGTTGCAAAAGTTGACACAGAGCGTATAAAGAACTAAAAACCACGTTTGCAGGTCTTTGATGGCCATTAAAACCTGGCCCCATTTAAACTTGCCTGTGTCCAAGACTCCTGTTTTATTTTTCAAAGTTCTGTGGACTGCAATGGCTCGTTCGTTTGGTTTGAGGAAGACGGCCTTTGAGGGTGAGTCTGGTAGCGTAAAGAACAAGACCACGCCATAGGCAGAAGTGACAGCACCTAATATGAGAAACAACAGTTGCCATTGGGCAATAGCTGTGACGTGAATATTGCCAATACCGTAGGCAATCAGCCCACCAAGAAGAACAGCAACAGAGTTTCCAACAAACCATGCTGCTTGTCGTGCTGGCTGCTCCGCTCTTGTATAAAACATTCCCGTTATTAGCGCGAAGCCAGGAGCAATGGATGCCTCTGTCAAAATGAATTCATTAGCTGTGTCGGAAATTGTTGGCATATGGATTCCCACCTCCAACACCCAAAAAGAATCTCGCTGCCATTAACCCACCCCAGTTCGTGCAGGCGGCATGAACCATCAAACAACCCCCCAAACACAAACAGCACAGCTGAGATATTTGCCTAAGGGAAGTCTAGAACCAATGATTAACATATGTCATTATGCATTATGTCTCAAACATACCTCACAACTAGATAGGAACTCGGCCAGCTCCACGCGAAATAGCCAAAATAGAAAATGGCCGAAGCCCAGTTGTATTCGTTTCCTTTCAAATCCTAGTAATAATCAAGGAGCTGTATTAATATCAAAGACAAGAAACGAGACTTTAGACAAATGCTGATTGGGAAATAAACATACCAGGTCCTGTCGGAGATTGAAAAGGGTCGCCTGACTAATTGCTAGTTTGTCGATGTACTGCAACATGTAGCAACCGCCCATAAGAGGTATTAAAAAGAAGTCTAGCTTTCTTAAAACCTTCTTCTCCATTGCAGGTGTTGTTTCAATCTCAAGCACTTGTCCGTAATCCACATCGCGAATAGCAGAGCTTGACTCAACCTTGAGCATCGCAAGGTCTGGTTTGATACCTCCGGACGGGAGGTGTTGTTCTCCCATACTGACTGGTCAAAAATAAGCAGTGAAGCAGAGGAAACGTAGAAAGGAGAGGAATATCAGTGATATCAAAAATAGAAAGATGATCGACTTGTTATATCTATCAATTCGGAGGTGTCTTGGGGGGGCTATATGGCTTCCAGGACAGAGACCAATTGTGGCGACACACAGGATGCGACGATAGCTGATAGCGCATCAGAGCCTATAACTTATGCCAGTTATCGAGTCAATATTACGTTAACACGATTCTACCTCAAGAAAAGGCGGGGGATTGGGATGGTCCATGAACGCGGGCAAAGTTAACGGCAATCAGAGACAACTACAGTGAGATCTAGATGCCGAGATATGATCCATGTATCTCTTTGTTGTAGCCAGCTGGTATCGTTTTCATAGACTTCGTGAGGGAGCAGAAGATTAGCATTATAATATCGGCAGTCTAGCGAATCATATGCCACGTCGGCAATATGGATTATCCTCATCGGCAACCCACTTCCCCTACAGCCCTCGATAAGAAGTCGAAGAGAATAAAGGGGGAAAAAGTGATAGCTAGAGGCGAAAAGAAAATTTAGAAAATAAAATGGGATATTGAGGAACCCACGAGTTTGGTCATGGGACGAATCCACAGCTCTGATCCTAACATCACTGAATACACAAAATATGGGGCTCACAACATTACAGAGAATACTACCCCGGACTATACTGGAGGTTGCCGAGGGGGTTCTGATAGGCTCTCGCCAAGCTCGCCAATATGGATGATAGCCGTATCTCCAGTTACTATACTTCGGCATCGCTCCCCGCTTCTGTCGTCGGCAAACGCCACGATACTACCTGATAACGTCAATATAACTTTTAATTTACAGGCTCATAGTTAAATAGAACCTTCAGCCAAGAAGGATTCTAATTTGATCCAACTATAATCGAGATAGTTAAAACATGACTCTAACAACCATCAATATCGAGGAAGTGAAGTCCTCTGTAGATGCCACGATTGAGGCACTACAACAGGAATTAAGGGAATTGAACCATGAAGTATGTTCATCCTCGTGGTTAAAGGTTTATCTGAAAGGCTAACGTGTTGGTGATGATTATCAGATCTGGTCAAACCCTGAGCTTGCTTACCAGGAGCACCGAGCCCATGATACAATTTGTGACTTCCTCGAAGGACAAGGCTTCACTGTTACTCGTCACGCTTATGGCCTTGATACCTCTTTTGAGGTTTTAAGTGGAACTGGTGGGCGATTGATCAATTTCAACGCAGAATATGACGCATTACCTGGAATTGGTCATGCTTGTGGTCATAACCTAATAGCGACTAGCAGTATCACTGCCTTCCTTGCGCTGTCATTTGCCATAAGAAAATTTCACATTCCTGGTAGAGCCCAGCTATTAGGCACGCCAGCCGAGGAAAATGGAGGCGGAAAGGCCAAACTGATTGATGCCGGCGCTTACAAGGACGTTGACATTTCCTTAATGGCGTACGACCCCACATCTCGCATGTGAAAGGAGAGGGGCCCTTATGTGCTGACTTGAGTTACAGTCATCCAGGACCTCAAACGCTTTACCCTGGTGAGGAGCCATGCGATGGCATAGCTGGAACCCTTATGAATGCACGCAAGAATATTCACTGTGAGTTGCTCAATCAGTTCTCGCTTGCCATGCTGATGAATGGAATTCAATATAGGCGAATTCACGGGTAGAAATGCCCACGCCGGTGGAAACCCCTGGGAAGGGATCAACGCGCTTGATGCGCTGGTCTCATCTTACAACAACGTTGCTGTTCTTCGACAGCAGCTTCTCCCGGACCAGCGTGTTCATTGTGCTTTCTTGGACACACCCAAGGTAGCTAACGTGATCCCAGATTATACGAAAGCTTTCTGGCAGGTGCGCAGCCCTACGTTGAAGGGATTGAATACCCTTATCGGCAAAGTGCGCAATTGCATTGAGGCTGGTGCGTTGGCCACTGGGTGTCAGGTCAAGATTGATGAGTATGCACCCCTTTATGACCTACCTGACCACCTGTCTAGGTACTTAAGGAAATAGCTACTGATGAATTTGATTCAAGGGATGAACTCTACACCGATGTCCGATTGAATGACACTCTCTGTGAACGCTACCATGTCCACATGGGAGGGTATAGCCGCAAGGTTCTCAAGCGCCATGAAAAAGTCCTAACCGGATCTTCAGATATTGGTATGTGGTAGGACAATATTGCACTTTATTTGACAGGACTAACTCGTGTAATGCAATAATAGGCAATGTTAGCTACGAGACCCCCACGCTTCATACAATGTTTGCGATTCCTGCTCCTACAACTTCTTTTCCACATCATCCGACGTTTGCAGCTGCAGCTGGAACAGATGAGGCTCATACTGAGGCATTGATTGTTGGTAAATCTTTGGCATTGATCGGTTGGGATATGATTGTAGAGAATGAGATGTATGATGTGGCGCGGCGTCAATGGAAAGAAGAGATTTTGAGGGAGTAGATGTATGTAGCACATCCTAAGGTTGTCAGTCTATATAAAAGAATTGTTCATCTAGTCAATAGAAATCATTTTGAGCTCTTCGAGGTTTGAACAAGTTGAAGTCTTCCAAAAACAATGTCAATTCCCAATATGGTAGCGCTTCCGATAACGCAGTCGAAAAGGGAAATCACCCCGAGATCGAGCGTCATGATGACTCAGCCTTCCCCGCGTTATCTTATCGGCTTCGGCAGTGAGATCGGAGACCATCCCAACACCTTTTTCTTTCATTCAATTCGCTTTCTTCGCTTCTTTCGCTCATGCCTGCAGGTTGATCCCTGGTGGTTCATGTCCATGCAGGGTTTGGGGCGTAATGGCCCACGTTCCAAGAGTGGTAGGATGCTTCGTTTACTTTCCTACAGGGCCGACTAACCCACTTCTCGGTAGGTTGTAGTACCTGCCGCCGTCGCAAGGTCAAGTGCGGGGAAGAGAAACCAGTTTGTGCAAGATGTTCATCCCTGCGCCTCAATTGTGAATGGGGGGTCCCAGTGAAGCGTGGGCGAAGCACGCAAATTCGACATCTTGAACCTGCACCGGGCCAACCGGACACTCAAGGGCGAGCTGAGGACCTTGCCGAGTTTCAACCAAATACGCTTTTTACATGTCTCTCGCCGGTCTCTTGGGCATCTGACGTTCTTCCTTTTGACACATTCGACCTGGCGCCAATTCTGACTCCGATATACCCTTCCTTGAACGTCAATGTTGCATGTGCCAATTCATTGACACTCACCTCTCTTGATCGACAATACTTCCAGTACTTCCCTTCTTCCTCGCTTGTATTTTACTACATGAAGGGATGGAAGTGGAGTGGGCTCTGGTGAGACTTTTATGGTTACCGCCCTCTCGAGACTTGAAGAGTTCACCCGGCTAATTGGACGACAATAGCCATCTCTACGAAGGTGCAGCTACATCAAATAGAGTCATAATGCGGATGATTTTGGCAATAAGTGCATGTGATATGCATCGAAATGGGTTGATTTCGAGCTCTCAGGATCACGGTCGGTACCATTACAGCCAAGCGGTCAAAGAATTCAGGCAACTGCTGGAAACGCCGCGCCAGGTTTCATTGGATGATGTCGAGACAGTTTTTGCCACTGTGTTTTTGATGATAGCGTGGGAGTGGCAGTTCGGACACTCGGTGCGCCACGTGAGAATGCTCTCATGTACTGGCTAGAATTATCATCGGCTAATGCGTCTCCAGCTTCAACTCCACCTCCAGGGCGTACGCTCGCTTCTGGAAACACACCCGCAACTATTCCGCATTAAAGATGTGAATGATATGTTCTTGTCTCCCGGAACCAGCACATTGGCCAATGATACCGTGACTGTGGCCAAGGTCTCCTTCATTCCTGAGCAGTTTTTGTTGTGGATTTTGTGAGCTCCTTTTCCAGCCGTTATACCAACGACTAGCACTGACGAAGAGCCAGATATATTGATGCTAGTTGCCGTCCAATTGGTCTTACCGAGTCACTTAACGATTATGTGGCCCAGTCCGGGAATGCTGCTTTGCAGCCGGACCATCTTCATCGCTGTGCTCGTCTCTGGGGCCGATGCTTTTGGGGCGAGCAGTACCCCGATGAGGAAGTTATGGACGACATTGAGAACTATAGGGCTCTCGAGCTATTACACGCGGGATTTTGCCTACGCCATCGAACTTGGAAGGTCCTCATGGAATCCGCGGCTGGTACCGCCGGCTCCCCCGAACCTCTTTTCCGTGAGATCCTCGGTATCCGAGAAGTCAGTATAGGTAACCCCCCAATGTCGAGAGATTTACTGATTGTTTGGTTAGAAATTCTCCGACCTTTTTATTACCTCTAGATTTGCCGGTAATGCCTCGGCTCGACGTACGCTCAATACCATATACATGGCCGTTTCTACCTTCTACGCCCAGGTCCTTCTCCACCGTCGCCTTCTCTGCGTCGACGATTTACCTATGGGCATCCATCAGCAAGCTACAGCAGGAATCATTGACATTTCTAAAAAGCAATTCTTGTCGGATCCGAAGCTCCTTAAACGGCTACACTTGCCGCTATTGATGGCAGTGATTGAAACCAACGATGTAACACATCAAAGGTGGCTCCGTCAGCGTCTATGGGAACTTCGCGACTTTCACTCCGAGTTTGCTTGGGCACATGATGTGGCTGAGCAGATTCTGGCCCAGCAAGACGTGAGCCAGGGACAATATGTCAACCTGGCCGAGTTTTTACTAAAGCGTTTTCATGCGCAATGAAGCCTGCAGGCTCTTGTATATCTACTTACATCTTTATATACCAACACTAATGTCTTAGTCACTCCATCTGCATAGCTGTCGGTTCTTTTTCATCATATGACCCCTTCACTTTCGAACCTATAGAAGTATAGAAATCCGTGAGTTTGGTTTCTCTAGAGTCATAGATTTATATTCATAGCGAAGAGATTTGTTAGGAGTGTCTTTCAGCCATGAACCGAAGCTATCTAGAAGAATGCCGTCTAACCTCCTATGACTTCGCCCAAGCCTCATAGTCTGCTACCAACTGGGCTGTATGCTGGAGTAGAACTTGTGCCCCTGATGTACATGCCATTTAGCTGTTATTTCCTTCCCCACATATGTGGTAACTCAACCTACTTTTGGCGTTTGAGGAACCCAGCAAAGAACTTGCCGATTTCAGGACAGTCACCTAGACCCATAATAGCAGACACATCTAGCGGCGCGAAAGTGTCAGTTATATGTAAATATCTCACGACCAGGTATTTGCTTACATTGATCTGGGCGAACAATGATAAGAGCACCTTGTGCCGGGTCAATACCGAGATATTCGTATGCATTGCCGTGACCGTCATTGTAACTCTTGTCGTCGTAATAAATTTTGTGTAGATCTAATAGGTTAGGGACGGTGGAAATATTGGAAATCAGAGTATCTGCACCTCTTGTTTGGTTTTTCCCAGAGACTGGGTAAAAGCACTCGGGGATCTGCTCCAACTCAACACCATGACGCTGTCCATGTCCGATCAAAATGGTCTCGATGAGGCTGTCAATATCTTGATCCTTCGGGGTGAATGTGTGGACAGGCCCATCGGCCGCGCTCAAGTATTCCCCCAACTATATAATGGATTAGCTAAGGCCCAGGTAACATAACGATGGTGACAAAACAGACCTTGTTGAGCTTTGAGTGGTTTTCTGGTACAGTCAGGTCGCCTATGAAGGCGACGATGCGCCACCGACCATCCGACTTGAGAGACTTCATGAGCTGTAGAGGTTTAGAGTCACAAAATCGCACGACCTGTGCGCTGGGTAATCGCATACCAACGGCCACATTAGAAGCGAGCTTGGTCGATTCTAACGCAGAGGTGATAGGTGAGACCTCATACTTGGCCGTTAAGCCTGCGGTGTATTTGCCAGATTTGATGAAGCCTTCTTGGAACTCGGCAGGAGAAGTCGAGGCCCCGGAAGAAAACAACTTGGAGAAATAACGATCAAATTTAATCAGATCAATAGCCACCTTTTCACGTTCTAGGACGTAAGTCTCTAAAAGTGAGGGACTGGCCAGACCAGTCAAAATTTCACCGAGCTTCCAGCCAATATTGTAGCCATCCTGTAAGCTGACATTCATACCCTGCCCGGCCTTTGGGGAGTGAGTGTGGCAAGCGTCACCAGCGAGGAAGACCCGGTTATCCTTGTGGAAGAAATCGGCATGACGTTGGCCGATGGCGTACGCTGACCACCAGACTGTCTCCACGAAGTCTACCTTATAAGGATAGAAGATGTTCTGTGCTTGGGCCTGCAAATTTTCCAGCGTCACCTCTTTCGGGTTGGTTCCTGGGGCAAGTTCAATATAGAACCTTGTCAGGTTGTCACTATCGCCTTCACGGGGAATAATCAAGATATTTCCTGATTTTGAGCGGATAGTAGACTTCTTGCGAATGTCAGGGAAATTGGTTCGTGGCACCATGTCCATAACACCCCAGACGGCATCGCTGCTGTCTCCAATCATTTTGTACCCAAGGGCTTTCCGGACAATGCTGTGTGCACCATCACAAGCCTGATGGTCGAGTCAGAAAGTGTTCAAATCTTCCAAAAGGTTAATGGGCACCTACCAGTGCATATTTGGCTGCAAACACTTCTGTCTTTCCGTCCTTTTCCGCAGTGACTTTGACCGGATAGGCGTTCTGATCCTCGGCAGAGGCGCTATCAACTTTGACATCGGTCACATTGTAGCCATAGTCGATTTGTTGGTCATTATATTTCTGCATCAGCTCAATCAGGAGCCCATTGATACGTGCCTGATTCAGAATAACGTGAGGTTGGTGTGATAGACCTGGCTGGGTATCCGCCGTCCGCCCTGTCCGCTTGATTGCGCCTGTGCCATCATCGGCCCAGAAGTTGACCTCTAGAACGTGGTAGGCCTCACGAAGAAGTTCTTCTCCAATTCCAAAGCTTTCAAAGATCTCGACGGTGCGACATTGCACACCGTCGGCTTGACCCATCTTCATAGGGCCACCCCGTCGTTCAAGTATCTTGCACCGCACCCCATACTTGGCGAGCCAGGTGGCAGCGCAAAGACCGGCGGACCCGCTACCGCAAATGAGCACATCGACTTTCTCCATTGTTCAAATGTATAAGCGTAATTAGTATATCCGGGGTCTTTTATGGTGAATCCGGGATGTGACCCGGGATGAGCTCCGGGGGGCTCGGGATGCGTTCCGAAAGGGGGATGGGACGACACTTCTGGAAAGCCTCGGCAGTCTCTGAATCGATGTCTCTCACTGCCGTTTTGATATTGCGAACTTCACGTTTAATTTACCCTGGGTTGATCGGGAGACATGTTTTCGGAATGCCGGTTCTATTCAAATTTCATGGAGTATCTGATTTCATTTGATCCCATTTGGTTTCTTCATATCCAAACACAAGGCATATGCATCATTAAGTCTGGTCTAAATCATTATATAATGCTCATCCTTCCGCCCAAATACCAAACCGAACGCCA